TCCACTGTGGTGGCAGCCCCAGAAGGTTTTCTTCCCTCTTTTTTTTTTTCAGGAGAGCCCTCTCCAGCCACTCTGGCTGCACAGAAGCCTTTCAAAGCCACACTCTGGCCATAATCAACACAGCAGAGTGTGCCAAACCCCGGCGCTGGTTGCTCCTTGGCCATGGGTAGACGAGCCCAGCTCTGCTCTCCTCAGCCACAGCTGGCAGAGACATTGAGGAAAATTAAGACATTACCCCAGTGATCACCCTGATGACCATCTGTGTTCAAATTGTCCCTGCTCTTGTCATGTGTCAGCTCCTTCCCAGGTACCTGCAAGCCTGCAGGCAGACAGAGCTGCAAAACTGCTGTGAACAAGCTCAGGAGAGGAACGATGAGCCAGGCTGGGCATAGGGCAGCCCCCAGCCTCCCTGCAGCATATGGAGCGCTGGCACCCTGGAAATCCTGGGAGCTGCTTGTGGGGCGCTGGTGGCTGGGGTGGGGATGAGCAACAGCACATTCTCCTCCCATCGCTGAGCTGTGCAGCCTCTTTTGTGAGTGTGGGAAGGATGCTCAGCCCCAGTTGCTGGTCCATTAGCTCCCCTTCCTGCAATCACCTTCTCCAGCTGCTTCATCTCCTGCTGAGGCCCTGAGCTGCATGCGGCAGCGCAGGGAGGGATGCCCGGCTGCAGGCAGTGTGAACACAGTCGCATGTGCTGTGGTGGGAGGTCGTGAGCAGGTTACCCAAACACAGCTGCGCTCCTGGTGTGGAGAAGAGCGCGGGCCGAGGCTGCAATGCCAAAATATTGTCAAATGCCCTCAATGCCTCGGGAATGGTGCTTGCTGCCACCCCAGCTCCTCTCCATCCAGCTCCCAAAGTCACCAGGTCACCAAAATGAGCTGGTTTCACACTTCCTTGCAGCCCCTCTCCGACAGCTGGAAGCACTGGGGAGAGCAGTGGGGGCAGCGATGGCCCCTAAAACATCCCTGCCTGCCCAGCCCCTGCCTGCTCCAGCACAGCCCAGGCTTGTCCTCATTTCAGGCTGGGCGAGCGGCAGCCCAGCCTCAGAGGTAGCGAGATGATGCCAAACCTCCTAATGGAGCTTGACAGCAGTGGGATTAAAAGCACAAGTGAGATCACAACCCCTCTACAATCAGTTTCTGCCTTGGGAGAGGTGAACCAGAAAAGAAACCTCCTGGCAGCAGGGAGAGATGAGCCCACACACACGTGGGGTAAGGGCAGCAGGGGCTGGGGGGAACCCCACCTGTCCTAAGCCCTCCTCACTTGCCGTACCAGCCTGCTGGCAATAGGAGCAGCACCAGTGAAGTTTCACCAGCAACAGCCCCAATTCCAACCAGTCTCATGGGCTGGTACTTCTACTGCCCTAAACTTTGGATGCAGGGCAGCCCACACCACGCACTGCTCACCCCTTCCTCTTGCCACCTGCAAGCTCAAGGCAATGCACAGCACCTGTAAGGACCCATCCTTCTCCCTCTCCTCTGGGTGCTGCACTTGGAGCAGTGCCACTGATACTGGACACAACAACCAAGCAGCCATATCTGAGGTGGAGACAGGAGAGGAGATGGGAGGACTCACTCCGATGTGAGTGGGTGCTCAGCAGAACACCCGCAGCCCCTGTTTCTGCAGGACAGGGTGCACAGACCCTCCCAGCTGGCACCAAGCTCCGTCCACCCCAGAGCACAGCCCCAGTTCAACAAAAAGGCAGCGCTGACGTTTCCCACTCAAGGGATGCTCCAGCAACACTACTGCTGCCCCAGGTCTCCTTCATCCTCCTTCCCACAGGAACATCTCGGCATCTCCCCCAAACCCACTCAAATGGGCTTCTGTAGAGATGAAGTGGAAGTTAACTGGCATGAACCATCCCAGGGGTGGCCACCAAGTCACCCTCCAAGAAGCCAGCAAGGCACAACCACTGTCCCCGTCTCTGCTCACCTGAAGCCCAGCAGCCAGAGGCTGCTCTCCTGCCAGCAGATGTTTGCTCTCAAGAAAATGCAGGACAAAGTGGGGCTTTTTACTGCAAGAAAAAGGAAGTCACTCCAGGGACTGGTGCATGTGCTCAAGAGCAGCAGAAGAGCTGATGGGTTTTGGCACAGTGCTGAGGCTGAAAACCTAGCTGCAGCTCCAGACCTTGTTTTGCAGCGACCTGTACCAAGAACTGGCTTTTTCCTTTTTCTTGTCAAAAGGAAAGAAAAAAGAAATCCTTCCAGGTCAGAGGAAAGAAAAGCATTTACTCATGGGTCAAGTGAAACTATCTGATGCAGGGTTGAGTGCCCTTTTATACTCCCCAGACCAGGAAAAGATTCCATTTCCATCTGAAAAAACATCTAAAAAGACAAAAGGTTTTTGGGGTCACCACCACTCAATTTTGGTTTTTAAGCTGAAATGACTTGCTGAATTGAACCCCACTTTGCAAAGCATGGATCAACCCAAAAGTACAGAAGGGTGGGGAGGGGACGGACCAGTGCATCGATCTGGAAAATTTCAGCCATGCTGATATAGCACCAGTCCCAGAGGCCACCACAGGGGCCAGCCCAGGACCGCTCATGTCCCCAGCCTGCAGCTCAGGTACCCCAACCTCTGCTCCTGCCAAGCCTGGCTGTATGCCGGCAGTGGGGGTGTTTGGCTGCCTCCGCAGCACTTTGTTCATCTGAAGTGAGCTGTCATTTTCCACCCTCCTCCTCACCAACCAAATGCTTCCTGACAGCCCGTTTAAAATTTACAGCACCCGATTACCACCACGGCCAGGCAGCTGCTCACAGACATCAGGAGAAACTCTTCTCTAACCCTCACCCTCAAAACCAAAATCCCTACCCAGAGCATCACTCCTTGCCCTTCCCAGGCCCACCCACGCCCAGGGGCTGCCAGGGAGCACAGGGGCCCTTTTCGAGCTAGTCCTGGTTCAGCTCTGCTCTCACACGCACGGCCCCAGCCAAGGGAACCCCATCACCGAAATGCCAGCATCCCAGGGGGGAGGAGAGCTGCCCACCCCTGCTCCCCACACCTTGGGGGGCTGACCCCATACATGGCCTGAGTCCATTAGCAAGTCCCCAGAGCGCACACCTTGCCGGTGTTTTGCTTAACCCCGGCTTTTAGGAAGAGCTGCAGAGCTGTGCTGCCTTTCAATTTTTAATTTGTCTAAACATTTTGGTCCTCTCCCCTGGGGACTCCCAGTCAACAAACTGCTAGCAGCACAGCTGCCCCATAGTTATAGGGAAGGTGGAAACTGGGGACAAAGGCAGCTACACCCCAAGCTGCTCTCCTTTGGAGGAGCATGACCCCTTTGCACAGTCACCCCAAGACGAGGGGCACCCACACAGTGGGCCCCCAGTGCCCCATGGAGATGCTCAAGAAGGATGGGGGTATCCCCCCAGGCCTTCCTAGAGGGATGTGACACCTGCAGAGACAAGGTTGGCACAGGGCGGAGGAACATCCCCCTCCTTTTCATCAGACACCCCCATGGGATTGGGTCCCTCCAAATGTCACAGCTTGCTCGGGTTCACCCCAGTATCTGGAACAGCTCTGCCCTGGAGCAGGGACAAGAATACAGCATCACTTTCCAGTCCCAGAGGTGTCTTTCTCTTTTTCCACTGCCTTAAGCAACAAATGTACAAATAGGGACCCGCTGGGCATGAGAAACATGACTGGAGAAACACGATCTGAGCTGCTCTGGGAAGTGAGGTGTCACAGCAGGGCTGGGAAGATCAGCCCAGGTCACCCTGGAGCAGGCGAGCAGCTCCAGGTGGATTTTCTGTCCCTCATGTGCTGGGGGCAAGGGGGTCCAGGCTCAGGGTTAAGGCTCAGCTCTTCACACACCTTTTCTCTTGACTGGAAGGGTATGGAGAACTGATCAAGTATTTGCAGACAACACATGAATGGCAACAACTCCCTGACCAGTTAAGCATCAGAAAAGGTACATGGGATCACAGCAAAGCCCAGTAACCTGACTCCAACAGATACCCAGGGACAACATGCAAAAAGGGCAATGGGCAGCAGGTCATAGCTCCTCCCTCCAAAAACTAGCAGATTTTGGAGCTCTCAAGTCACAGGGGATGCTGTGATGCTGCTCAACCCTAGCTGGCTCCCTCTCACGAATTTGCCTGCTCCTTTTCTGCACACACACAGGCTCCCAGCATCCACACCTGTGCTTTCCAGACCCCACCAGCATCTGCCCATCCCCAATTTCCCAGGACAGCCCATGCTGAGCAGCAGTGGGACCCACCCCCATAAGCTCCCAGTGACACCTCCAGGAAGCCAAGATACCCACCTTGCCCCAGGCAGGGACCAGGGACAGAGGCAGCCCCAGCTGGACAGAGGGATGCTGCCCACTCACCCAGCAGAGGCTTCCTCTGCTCCTCACCTCTCTCACCCTCCCAGAACCCTCCCTCCCAAGAGAGGGGTTTTAGGCTGAAGGGAGCTGAGCCACCAGAGCTGGCCTCAGCCACTGCCCAGCAGTGATGGGGACAGGGTGTGCTCCTCCAGACCGCTAGCTCCTGCTGCAGCTGAGGACAAGAAGGTGAGAGGATGTGGGTGTCTCCTCTGGACACCCCACCCTAGCCCCACTTCTCACCTTCTTGAAGCCAAAAAGGGACTTCTGCAGCAGAGACAGTGGTGCTGGGGACAAGTCCTCCGTCGTCCAGACAGCTCCGAGCAACCTCAGCTCTGTTTCAGTAGCTCCCTGCACCAGACGACAAATACCTGTGGCACGAGGCCCCAACCCTAGCACGGAACCAGGGAACTCAGGCAACATCTGAACTTCCCGCAGGGCTGCACAGCCTCTGCTCAAGCCACAGCTCCACACCTCTCTGCTTCCAGCTCCTTCATTAGCCTTCCACACAGTCATTTCCTAAGAAGACTCAGGTTTTCTTTCTTGCTCTGCATTTTTTGGCCCTTTCATATCCATAACCACCCCTAAATGCTGAAATTAAACCAAAACAGTCATAGAATGGTTTGGGTTGAAAACAAGCTTTAAAGATCATGTAGTACAATCAATAAACTTCTTAGGCTGGGCTTTTATCCATTCCAATATTAACATTAAGCCTTACCTCACGCTTTTCTTGGTGGTTTGCAGTGAAGCATACCTTAGGTATGTTTGCAGGGGGGCACAGAGTGGCCTTTGAAGCCCCTGAAGACCCAAGGAACAGTTGGAATGACAGAATGCTGGCACTCATCAGCAAAGACGTTGAACGTCAGCATCCATACCCAGAGCACTTCTATTTTCACAGCTTTTCTCTGCATTAGCAAACTCAAGCCCAGGAGGATTTATTGCCCCAGGCAAGTAGCTGCATAGACACAGCCAACATCACGCTTCGAGCTTTATCTCACTGGATTCTTTACAGATCTCATTCACTGTCTGTAACGCAGGATTCCCGATGCTTCGTGCATGTGCCATCCAATTCTCCAACAAATCAGAGCGTCGTCTTCTTGGGGAAGGAGGCTTCTTTTTGCAAGTTACCAGAATCTCCATGGACTGAGGCCTGAGCTGGTATACAACCACCGATTCTAACAGCAAAGCATGTGTAGAGCATCCACTGTGTTCAAAACCACCTCCCCACACAGTATCAAAACTGCTCATGCACTGAAGGAGGAAGAACAGATAGCCAGTTTCCCTCTCCTAAACTTAATGGGTATATATATTTTCTCTCTCTCTCTCTCTCTCTCTATGTATCTCACAGTGTGACACATAGCTGTTCTCCTGAACCATTACATTAAAGAGCAATAAATCAGGACAACGCCAGTACAACACAACCAAACTATTCCTGAAAATAAAAAACATTTATCACATGTAATGGGGACATCTGAGAAGATGTCAGATTCTAAGTTTTTCAAGGGATTAAATGTTTCCGAACAAAGAAAACGACAGCACGATTGTGCAGAGGGCCTTTGCTGCTCTAAACAGCTTTCCTCGGCAGCTGTTCCAGCTTCTCCCCTCTTCTCACACCTTCCTTCTCAGGCTGGGGACCCACTGGAAGTAGTCACTGGAAGTGGCTAAGCGTGCAGCTGCTAACACCGCAGACAGTGTGGTAGGAGGGATGTAGAGTTTCTGAGATGGCCTTTGGTCAGACAGCCCGCTGGCACCACGTGGGCCAACTGTCAGACTCCCGGGAAGGTCTTTGTTCTTCATTTTCTCTTCATCTGCATAAGGAGGGGCACAGAAAAGAAAGATGGTATCTACACTGCCAACTTTAAGAGCTCCAGTTTAGATTAAAACCCCTTTTTCCTGGACCTTACCAGGTCACAGCAAGAGGACTGGACTGCACACCTATCTGATGAGCCTGACACGGTACAATCCAAAGGCCTCTCTCCCTCTCCTCTCAGTGCTGACCCCTGTTCCCTCAGAGGTGGGAAATCAGATGTGAACTGAGTAGCTCCTGTCTGGAGAACTGGGCCTCCACTCCAGAGGGCAGACAGCCCTGCTCCAAGGAACAAACAGGCACTGCCTTCAGCAAATCACTTAATCTACCTCGTAAACTGGGCAACTCTCACATGGGTGTTGTAAATTCTTTCATCATTTGGAAGACGAACACCCACAGAGGGACCTTAAAAGGTTTAAAAAAATGCTTTTGTCCCTTACAGCTAGGAGATTACTGAGACACTCTCAGTACGAAATGAACACTGCCTGAAATATGGAGTGGAGAAACAGACTTCTGCATGAAAGCAGCAGAAAGTCTAGAAAAGACAACAAATATCAGAGAGAGAAATAAACCTCAATTCATTTTTTCACATTAAGCACTTAGAAAATTCATTTTGCTGCACAAAGGTCAAACCGATGCATTGCATCCAGCCATCTGTTATTGTCACGTCTCCATCCCACAGAAACACCACCATTTTCATCTATTCTAGCAAAGAAGCAGTAGCAGTCCAATAGTGACTGTAAGGCTCATAACACAGCAGCAGACTGCTCAGCTTTCCACTGATTCAACTTTTACTGACAAATCTATTCATACTGTTAGGGTTGTCCAGCGTAAATGGTACTGCCATAAGTAGAAGAGAGGGAGGTACAGCTTCAGGAAGTTGGGCCTTGTTGGAAAATCTTTCTATCTGATCAGGGTCATCTTGGCTCATTTCTGCTGGTTCCTTGGAGTACATAAAGGACGTGTAAGTGTCTTCCACTGACTTGGATAAGACAGCAGGCATTGAGGACTCTCCAAGAGAATGAGGTGTCTGAAAATGTATATAAAAAACTCAGGACAGGGTGTGATTAGTGCACACTCAGTTCATTAGCTGCCCTGATCTTTATTATCTCTCAAAGTCCACAAAGAACTGAAATGTCAGCAACTGGATGACTAAAAAAAAAACAAACCAAAAGAAAAACTAGTTACTCACAACCTTGGCCAAAGGGCAGCTTTTCCTGCACAGCAAGCTGAAAAGAGCGACAGATTATTACAAGATACAAATCACCATGTCTTAGCAAAGAATTAACAGCTGGGTCATCTCTCAGCAGTCCCACACAGAACAAATGACGATAATAACATTGGGAGTTTCTGCAAGTGAGCAGGAACAGAGTCAGAGGAAGTTCCTCTGCATTTTTGCTTAAGAATACAAATGAAATTTAAGTTTTAGGGATGATTACCCATGTCTCTGCCACGGACAGGGACTAGAACCAATGTCTGTATTTGTTAACTCCTGTACTGAAGAGAAAAATAGTGAAACATCAGACAAGCAGCAATTCACCTTGCCCAAGCAAGCTGTTCATTATTCAAAAATTAGGTGCTTGCTCTCTAGGCTTCTTCTGTTGTCAAGGCAGCAGAAGAAAGGCATCCATCTTCAGAAGGGTGCATCACCATCCAGAGGTGCCTCACTGTTTGATGAGAGCGTGTTCAGAGGATTAGCCCAGAACAGAACTGTTGTTTTTACACAAGGAGATTGAGGCAATTTAAATTGCCCCCCACAAGGGGATCATGAGGTGCTTCTGAAGCAGCAAGGAGAGCTACATAGCTGGGCAGGAGAAATTCAGTGCCAACAGGATGCCAAGACAGAGTAGTTTGAGTGACAGGCATCACTGGAGTCCAATTAACCAACTATGCAGCTTGATACCACCAGCCCACTGAAAACCTCTGCCTAACATGCAGTAAAAACCAGAGTGTTATGACAAGAAAATAATAATCTTTTAACCTTGTTCTTGATCTCCTCTTGGCACCCACACTATCCTTGTTGGGGGACAGGCAGTGTCACTGCCATGCCAGGTCAAAGCAGAAACAGACAGGGTGCAAGGGCAGACATTAAAAATGTCTGTTAGTGTTGGAAAAAGATGGGATGGAAATAATCTTAAAAAGAAGGCTGTTCAGTTTACAGAAGAGGCAAACAAGACACGATAGCCTAGAGAGTGCTGGGAGGGGCAGGAAGTAAGGCAGTATCTACTCTTCCTCCTGATCCACACAATTAACACCACCACCACTGAAAACAAGCAGTGAAAACTAAAAAGGAGGGAATACCACTTGGTGATGCTGCCAAGTGCCACAAAACCCCGAGGCCAAGAGATCAGCAGGAATCAGTTAAATGAAATCCTCCTATCTGTCCTCCTGACTGGTGAATTTTTTCCCCCCTAATGTCTACAGACAAGATTTTTTCATCCCACACTTTTGCTCAATAGAAATTCTTGTCAGTTCTAAAATCATTAACAGAATCACAGCCAGGGAAATGCCCAGGACTTCTCTGATCCTGTCAGGCAATTCCTAGGCATCAAAACTCACAGTTTAATACCTGCAGGGGAGCACTTAAGTCTGTTCACAAGGACCCTAATTCCTACCTACCCACCTGCCTCCATCTTGTCTCATCTCATCTTATCCCCGCGCTTGCTACCAGAAGCTTTCCTCTTGTCTCACACTCTCAAGGTCTCTTTTCCCAGTTTATTTTCTCTCCATCCCTTTCAGGCAACATTCCCCAAAGACACCCATTCTTCCAGCTCTGCTCCAGACTGAGAATCAACCTTCCCCCTCATCCTTCCAGAAGGTGTTTTGTCTCAGCCACTATCAACCTCCAGATGTAAAAGGAGCTGTCATTATCCAATACCTTGTACGCACGTGCCCCCTTCCAGCTCGTCAAGGCCTTCTGTGGCTCCACAAACCCTGAGTGATATTGGCTCCCCGCTGAACCCGGAGCGGAGCATTTGCAGAAGGCCATGCCATGTGCCCTGTCAGACTCTTCACCACCCGTTATTTAAGGAAGAAAGGTGGTGACACCAGCACCACACAATGCCTCAAAGCACAGCCCAAAAGGCAGCCCTCCCAAACCTACCCTCCTAACTCAGGACGAGGCCCACGTGATCCAGAGTAGCCCCACAATAACTCCCGTTAACCCCGAGGGCTGTGGATGGACGGGAAAGAAGAGTAGTGAAGGGCCAGGTTTCATCTCGTTTCCCCAATACCTTGATGTGCCAGGGGAGCACTAGTGGATCATCAACAACACTGGAAACAATAGCAATGAGGAAGACATACAGCTCTGAGCCCATGCTAACAGCCAGTCACTTTTAAAAAAATAATCTAGGCCAAAGCGATCAAAGGGTTATACAAATAATCTCAATACGAGAACAATCTCTCAACAGCGATATCTGAGAAAAACGCCCCTACCTTAACCACTGCCATAACTTCTGTAGGAGTTTCACTTGTATCCTCCTGCACAAGTTCAGGGTCTTGATCTGTTGCTCTTGGGACACTCACTTCATCCAAAAGTGGCTGTGTATCATCCCACGTTTCCTTCTTAGCAGACAGCTGCCATCGTTAAGGAGATGGACAAAGCAAGAAAAGGTACAGCTAGTGTGGGCAGACGAAAGCAGGGTGCACTGAGGTAAATTACAGAGCAATCAGATGATTTAACTCAGAGATTAACTGAGAGAAACACAAAGGAGCTTTTCTGTTCTGCTTAGAAGTTTTAACATTTCTATCTGCAGAAGTCTAGGCTTCTTGCAAAGGACAGAAAGAATGTGGAAGGACAGGAAATAATGTGAACAAGAAACTGTCATTTTAAATTCTCCACAGTAAAACTTACCACTTGGAAAGTACAGTTTTATCTGAGCAATGTTTGGGTTAAACATTTAGTGTTTAACATCTGGTTATTGCTTGCTGCCTTCTGAGAAATGTTACTATGGAGAAATGTCCTAACATAGCAGAGCTGATACCACAGTGTCCAGCCATTCTGCACTTAAGGATGGGGGGGGAAAATTGTTAATCCTGACAAGTCTACGATTGGACAATGCAAAGGGAGTTCCCCACTGCTGAAGAGAAGTTACCAGAGAATGCCAGCTAAGCAGTAAGAAATGTCCTGTTAGACACATTTCATTCCAGTTCTAAACATTTTGAACCATTTTATAACTGTCCTTGATGATTGTGCTAGTGATGCACCAAGGAAGAGAAGGAAACACTTTGGACAGCTAACCAGAACAGCAGAGATGAAAATGTTTAGTCTTACACAAGAGAGATCTAGATGACTGCAGTTTCTGAAAAAGGATTTTTATAAGACCCTTGAAATGAGACATGACAAAATCTGGATGCATTTACATTCCTCTAGTCTCCAAATCACCAGCTATGTCTGACATTTACATAAATGGATCTTGCTTCCGTTAACCAGTTAGGGTACTCTCCTGATTTTTCCATTAAAAAAAAAATAATCACAATACAAGAGATTTGCAGTCATTGATTTCTTCCAAATACATAAAGATGATGGTTTGTGTCCTTCAGTTCAGATGATATATAGATGTGCAAAGCCATTAAGAGCCAAGATATACATAGATAGAGTTTCTCTAGCACAGAAACACAGCTGGGTAAAACAAAACCTAGGTAAAATGATTGCTTTACAAGTTACAAACATTACACTAGCTGTTACTCTTACTTCAGAGATGTCAGAGAAACAGCTGCAGAGCAGGCCCGCTGTTGAAGTGTTCAGCAGCTGACATTTACTTAAAACATGCTTTGGCCCCTATAGTAAAATATGTCATGAAAATACTATCATTTAGATAACAGAGAAGAGCAGGGACAGTCACCTGCAAGACAAGTGTTCCTGGTGTTTCTAATGGTACTACATTAGACTGCACTCTAGACCTGGGTTTTACTCCCTGCTTAACCCCTCTGTTCATCCATTTCTCCATCTGTTAAATAGCAAAGGGCTCCTCTGTTGAACATTCTCTGAAACCAAAGGTGTAAAGCAGCATTCAGATCTGGCTATCATTCGCCTTTAGAGTTATCTTTTTAATAAAGTGGAGTTGTATACAACTTACCCCCTGAAACAAACCAAGATTGAAAATCGCTTCCTTTCAGATAAGTTTAGAATGAGCAAGACTCTTAAAGCAAATATACCACTAGTTCTGGTCTTCTCCCACATTTAACTGGTACCCCAAGTTATTACACATCTTTGCCAAATCCCAGAGATGCAAGAGAAAAACATATGAAAGTGCTAAATCAAAATGATCTCAAGAATCTGTTACTGGTCTGAGTTTTCAGAGTCCATTGTCTCTCTAACTGAAGAATTACGGTGCATATGGGAGGTTAGAGAAATCACTGCACATGCAGACTCCCTGAAGTCTGCAAAAGGATCAGAGGACAAGCAGCTAGAGATGTATTTATGGTCCACATGTAATTGCTTTTATATTATGGTTCTGCTTGCTTTTTATAATAGCTAAAAACAACTCCACAAAAACCTGCATGATACTAAACCAACACAAGTCTACTGATCACTGAGGCCAATTTCATTCAATGATGGCTACACCCCAGCCAAAAATCCCACCTGGTCACACAGTTCATCCCCATCCTGCTTTGAGGTTGCTGTTTCACTATCTGCACCTTGAGATTCCCGCTGTAAGCGAAGGCCTGGCTCCACCAGTTCAACAATCCCCTGCTTTCCACTGGGCTGAACATACAAGGCTGAAGGATTCAGTTCCTCAAATCCCTAGGAACAACAAAAAAACCCCCAATATAGTAAAAAAACCCATGCTGTATAACTACTACAAAGAATAAAAAGGATTCAACAAATTTCTAATTGGTTTTATGAAGAAGCACACTACCCACAAGTTAGTTCCAAATCCTTGCAGAAATTGCCTTGCTACAAAAAAAATCAACTCCCCTCCCTCCAGAAACAAAACTACTGAGCAATGCCCTCCTCTCCCCAAAACTGGACACACACACGTGCAAAAAATACAATCATAGGACCTCATCCTGCCAAAACAAACATTTTACATCTACTGAATAAAACAACAGATACAAGCATGCTGGGCTGGAAAGCCTGAATTTCTGCTGACATATAAAATTGAGGCAGTACCTTTTAAAGTGTTTTCATTTCATTATGAGTTCTTACTGAAACTGAGCTGAGACATTTAGATAATGACACAGATGGGCCTAAATCATAAATGCTCTCTGCACTGCCTTACAACCTGAACGTCTGTCCAAGGCATCATGTGCAATCCACCATGGTTATGCTGTCCAACACTCTACATTTCACTGGCAAAGTATAAGGCTTTTTAAACCACAGACAATTCAGTTTGTTAATGGCATCACCAATCTTCAACGTCTAGAGCAGAGAAAGCCAAAACTATTTAACTATCCTGTTCCTCACTCAAATGCCTCTGCCACTATGTAACATTATTTTAAGTGAGATACTAGAAATTTGATCAGCTTGCTCTCATCGTATGGATGATTCAGGGGCTCCTAAATTCTGACTAGGAAAACCTGCTGGAATTAACAACACATAGTCAAGTAACTAACGCATCTCTTAACAACCTTCCAATTCCATCTCAATTTGCCCTTAGGCTGAGAACATCTGTAGCTATTTTACTTTTCCAAATTATTTATACAAGATGTACAACAGCTTCAGATGAATCTGCAATTCTAACAAGCTCAACAACTTCAAAAAAAAAAAAAAAAAAAAAAGGGTAAGACAAACCCCTTCCAATCCACTGTCAGAAGACAGGATGAAAATATTAAGTTCTAAAAAACCAAAATGTCTTCACTGCACCATCAGACTCCACCTTAATCAAAAAGCAAACTTTTGGTAAGGTTAGAGGATAGCAGGGAGTACCAGTTTTGCTCTTCACAAAACTACTTTCTTCAAGCTAGAGATCTTCCCATTACAGGCACCCAACCGATCCTTTCCCTGTCCTTCCTTTCAGCAGCACATGCCTCCCTCCTGACCTGCGAAGGAGTGTTCTCTGCACAGATGTCAGCGCATCCCCCATCCCTCAAGACATAGTGGAAGTAGACATCCTCCTCAGTGGATGTGTCGCACAGGAAGAGATGCAAAATGCCATTCACATATTCATCCACAATGCCTACAAGTATCTTGGAGCCACACAGCTTCCTGAAGAGGAGAGTTGCTGCACTGGACCATGTACCCTGAAGAAGAAACAAGAATGTAAAGGCACAATAAACAGACCCACATCCACCACCTGAGACTTTCCCTTGGGGGCACTTGTCAAAAAGGCGATAAGCTAGGTCAGGCTAGGGACAAATACAGCAAAGTCAGGTGGACAAGCTTCCCAGCACTGACCTAAAACTACCCAACGCTTGCAATGCTAGTTACACTGGGAATGCCCTTTCATCCTAAATATCTATTTCTAAACATGGTTTGATGGCATTCACCAGTGATTTTATAACAATTGCCTAAAATACAGTTGTTTGGGGTTTATGTTTTTTTGTTTTGTTTTGTTTTTATTCCTGGAATCATGTGATTATAAATGCTGAAATTATCAAAAGTTTTTAAGAAGCTGCTAAGCCTCACCGCAATGAAAACTGTGATTCTTTAACCCTCAAAAAACAGAGGAAATATTTTTTTAAAAATAAATGTCTTTAAAATACATAAGAAACAACTCTGCTAACAGGCTTTCCTTCAGAGATTATATTTCTCAGGCTTCTTGATCAAGAGGTTTCTCAGCACAGAGGAACTATATGTCTTCTATAATTCTTTGGCTACGCTGACTGCATCAAACCAACTCACTTAAAGCTCTGTCATGGAAGACATTTTTAAAACAGGGATGGAGCTACTAAGGCTTCAGAAGGATCCTGAAGAACTACTGGCAGGGGAAAAACCAAGCTTACTCATTTGCTTAGCAGTAGCTACCTGTTTCTGCAACAATATAAGCAAGAATACCCTGATCAAAAGAAAGATAGACAGCAGAAGGGTCATCACTTGCAGAGACAGACAGACTTACACAGTCATACTCTACTCAACAAGGAAAGAGCAGCAATTCACCTGTAAAGATCAGTGGGACCTGAATTAATCCAAATGTTTGCCCTTATCAGGAGAAAAAGCCAACATCTACTTGATAGCTCTCATACATATGTCAATAAACAAAAGTGCATGTGAACACATACCTCCACAGGTTTTACCCAGGCCAAGGAACATGGGATGGCCTGAGCAGGGAGCTTCAAGTAGCACCACCTACAACACAAGACAAAGCCATCACCATTACAGCAAAACCAGACAGAAGAGCAGAATTTCCTCATCTTCTTGGTTTTAAAATCAATTTAGGACTAGAGGCATGTACTAGATTTTGCACTTATGAATAAAACCCAACAGCAGCTTGGAAAGCACTCCATATCCAGTGAAATAGCAGTAACAACTGGTCCCTTATACCTTCCCTTACTCAAGCATCTTCTCATCACAACCTCTTATGATTACAAAGGTATGGACAGAGAGCAATGGCTTGTGAACTAAAGAATGCCAATAGCCAGGCACAAAGAGGCCAACAAGAGGGAAGAAGCAAAATGGAAAAGGTACTGAATTGCAGCGAACAAGTACCTCTGACACTGCAAATGCATCCCACTTGGAGTGATGTCTGTGCAGGAGGATGTTTACATCCACTCATGGTACCCAGGAAGGAGGACTAGGGAGCTTGCCCCAAAGTGACAGAAAGTGGCAAGAGGAAAGTCTGAAGAATGAAGGCAGAAACAGGGAAAGATTTAGTTTAGCCCAAAGGAGTGAAGGACAGGGTTGATAGGCAAAGGGCCCAGAGCAATCAGCAAACAGGTCTTAAACATCACCTCGAGCATTAGCATGTAAGCAAGGAAACACCTGCAAGGCACCATTAATGTAATAAACTCCCAGATCTTTTCTAGGGCATCTGCACACTGGGATGTCTTTCCAAAGAAAGATGGGCCAGTCAGCTTCATCTTGATCCCTGAGAAGGTGATGGAACAAGTAATCCAGGCAACCATTTCCAGACAAATGAAGGACAAAAAGGTGACTGGAAGTAGCTGGCATGGATTCACCAAGTCATGCTTGATCAATCCGACAATCTTCTACAATGAAACAACTGGCCTGGTAGGTTAGGGGATAGCAGGGGGGATTGTTTACCTTGACTTCTGCCAGGTTTTAGACACTGTGTCCTACAAGATCCTTGTAGAGAAGCTAATGAAGTATGGAATGGATGAGCAGACACTGAGGCAGACTGAGAACTGGCTGAAGGGCCCCTTCGGCAAGTCTGCTGACAATATGAAACTGCGAGGGGCAGCTGATACATCAAAGGGTCATGTTGCCATTCAGAGAGACCTCGACAGGACAGAGGAATGGGCAGACAGGAACCTCATGAAGTTCAACCAAGTCCTGCACTTGGGAAGGCACACCACAGGTACATGCTGGGGGCCAACTGGCTGGAAAGCAGCATTTTTACCATGAGGGTGACCAAGCACTGGAACAGGTTGCCCTGACTGGTCATGGATTCTACATCCTGAAGACATTTAAAAGCCCTCTGGACATGGTCCTGGGCAGCCTGCTCTAGATGGCCCTGTCTGATCAAGGAGGTTGGACAGGATGATCTCCAAAGGTCTCATCCAACTTCAAGTATTCTGTGAATCTGTCACCTGTGTGTAATTTACTTACTTGAGGAATCTCAGCCAAGACTTCCGGACAATTTTGAGGTTTCCATAATCTGGGTAGAACACCTCTACTTCTTGGTCATTGATCACACGGTGGATGATAACACGGTACCACCATTTTGAGATCATTACACAGCAAAGCTGTCCAGGCTGTACTGAAGACTCAGGCATGATATAACGATCCGAAACAAGTTTATTTGAGTAACAGTGCCTGCAAAAGATCATAACAAAAAACTGTGTTTGGCAGGATGGAGGAGATGAACAAACAGACATATACAGGGCTTCAGAAGAATCCTGATTTCTCAAAGTCCCCATGACAAGAATTTTCAGGAGTTGTTTTTAAATAGATGCTTTACACCTCTGTTCTGATACACTTAAACTGAAATGACAATAAAACATGCAAATGCAAACTTTTAACATTTGAATGATATTCTTGGGGTCCAACAAAAAAAGTGCATGGGGATTAATCAGAGGCTAAATACATTCATCGTAGTCATTAATTTTTAACAATACCTTGACATGTCAGTACTTTTTATGATCTGGGTTCTGGAGTACTGGCTCACAGTATCTGTCTGCAGAGTCTGTAATCACACTTATACATACCCCAGGGATATCAAGCATTTACTTTGGCACGCACTTAACAGCAATTGTAGCACCGTCATGGTAGAACAGAATCCCAAATGTATAACGCAATGGACACAAAGCCACTGATGAGGCTTTGCTTTCAAATATAGATATGACAAAGGCCTATGACCTGTTGCTTTTGGTACACGTTTGAGATGGAAGTTAAAGCCTTAACTGAGCACATTAACAACAGTAGCACAGCCAACAGAGAGGTGCAAAGGAACCCTAAAGTTCCTTTTCATAACTTTACCAGGCTTTTAAAGAGTTGAGGACTGTCTCAGACACAGCTAAACCACCATGAACTGCTATTAAACCATACTTATTGCTTGCTAGTTAAAAGGAATGGCTAAGCATTATGAGTACGTGTTTCAGTACGGCACCAGCATCTCTGCATCAAGTGATAAAGCCAGCAGCAACCATAACTAACAGCTGGGAGTCCTGCTCCCTTAGTGCAAACACACACACACACACACACACACACACACACACACACAAAGAGCAGTAGTACTAAATCTGCACAGCATGTTCTCACCTCATCTCAATCATCATATTCTGCAGTTTATCAGATGTTTCTCTGCTGCAGATGTGGATGTAGAACTGATTAGGAGAGATGATGAATTCCACAGAGACGCCCACCATGCACCTTTTCTCCAGTGGTGGTAAACTGCAAAGGCTTCTGTCCTGAACAGCATCTGGGGGGATTTCTGGAGTCATTATCAACTTGTATAACAGTGACTGCTCCAAATCTTGAGGCTACGAAGGGATAAGAGGAAGATGGCACTCAGATGTGTCATCATGCACTGAACGCACACAACTGGCCTTTCCATTAAGGTAAAAAAAATAGTTTTGGTTTCCTGGGAAGCTGCAAATTACTGAATATCAGAGAATCCCAACAAGTTGTGCAAACTTGGATTAAAATTTTCTCTGTGACAGAAGCATTCATTTTCACATTCCCTTTCTCCTTTCCTTCTTTCTTCCCTCCAGTGTAAAGAGAGGTGCAACAAAAATACCTTGCCCATACTCCTGCAAGGAATAAAGGAGAGGAACTGAAGTCACATCACATATTTAGACAAAAGTATTGAATGGCTACTGCTCAAAAAGCAAACAAAAACTCTCACCAAAAAACCCCAAACCAAACACAACCCATGTTTGTTGGATTTTACCCAAAAGATGCTATTCCTATGTTTGATGACCATGAAAGAATATGTGACTGAACCAGCAAAACTCTCTGAAAGTGATTCAAAACTGACATAAGGCACAAATGCATCTCACATTCACACTAGAGCTATTTCCCAAGGATAAAAACAAACAAAACCTACAAATTTGGTTCTTTTCTCACTCAAGACAAATTTGTTCATGAGTGAGCTGTTAGCACAGCTTACAATTTTGTGTTCTTTAACTGCTGCAAACATTATTTCACTTGAACTAGTGTGGATGGGAACCTTAATCAGACATCAGCTACTTTCACTGCCTCGGGAGCTTTCTTTCGTGCCAACAACAAACAGCACTCCTCCAGTGACCAGAAGTCAATTTTTTTTTTTTCCATTTTACACACTGTGAATATGCTACAAGTTACCACTGCATTGTACATCAGGCAACGTACAGGAAATTTGTCTTACAGCACATACCCTGTTGCTTATATGGCTAAATTCAACTCCAATGTTTTTTTGCAATACTGGCTCTTTTATCTGCTTTTTAAAGAAGCAGGTAGGAGTCTCTCCTTCTGCAGACTGAGCAAGGGCTAATGTCCTTGAATTTTTAGGAGTTAAAAATTTTGACTAAAACATTAAAGAGTGAATTAACATTTCTGAGTTAAAGGGCAACTGAGGGAATTCCTGCCTGAGCCACAGCATCACCTCTAAAAAAATCCTTACATTTCATGGATTTCCTCCAAGAAGTTCCCATGAATAGTGGCATTTCTAAGGGACAGTTTTGCTCTGAGAATTCTCTTTACATCAGACTGTTAAGGGCACACAGGACCTTTATAATCTAGCTCACACATGGGTAGCGCCAACAGACATTTCTTTGAAAGACCTAGAAGGTGTGTACTTAAAAACATGTTCACAGAAGTGCAACAAAATTATAAGAAGATAAACCAACAGACAAACTGTAAACTAGGCTTACAAGAGGTATGGCTTGCAAGCCTGGCTAACTCCTTGTCCTAAACCCGACTGGCAGCTGCCAAGAGTGGTGTGCATGACACCTTTTCTCCTGCTCTGGGCAGCGAGAAAAAGCTGAGAGCAGCAGCTCTATATACTTTTCCCTCCTCAGGGCTGAGCAGACTGACTCAGCCCTTGTCCCTCATCTGTCCCTTACAACACTTCCACTACCAGCCTCTCCTGACTGGATACTTGGACACCTTGCAGCAGGGTGGGGATCAGGTTGTTCATTGCATACCCAAACGAACACATTCCAATCTGCTTCCTCCTCTTTAGGGTATTTTTGAAACAAAACAACAAACTCAGTGTTTCAAGACAAATGCTAGTTGTACAAACATCTTCTAAGAGCAATCTTTAAATAGGTTCCCTCTGCAACACAGAAGAACAAAAATCAGGGGCTACCCAGACCACATCCCTCCTTTTTTACCCTTCCCACAAGCAGACTTTGTTTGACCTAGGTGAATTCCCCGTGAAGTTCATCACACCAAACTACAATTTCCTTAAAGAATCAGAACAGCCTGTCAAAAATCTCTGAAGTGTATTTAAGAAGTGCCTCACAAAGTCCAACTTGTAGTCCGAGGTTTCCAAGTTCATCAGTAACAAAACACCAAAGTCAGGAAGAACTCCTGGGACCCCTTCCCTACCTATGCGCTCCAACTGCACAGCTACAAGACAAGCTTAGCAGAGGAAAGAACTCAGGAGAAGGCTTTTCCTTAGAAAAAGAAGGCCTAAAGATGCTCAAAATTAAAAAACAGAGGGGACACAACCAAATTCTTCCAATCAGCTTTGGCAGTTCAGAGCCTCTGTACTGTTCTTCTCCATCCCTTTCTAAAAATACACCGCTAAACAACAACAAAATAATCAACATTTTCGAAGTCCAACCAAATAGCAGAGTTGAGATCGCAGGGATCAAGGTCTCTGAGGACCATTCCCCAGCTCTGTCACATAACTGCTTGATGCTTAAGCCCTGCCTACTGCGGCAGGGGCAATTCCACATAGCTAGTCTCAGAACGAAGTTACTGAAGTCCAATTACAAGTAAGTACACCAAAATCACCACTGTTATTGGGGAGCAAGACCATGCTTAATTGACCTCAGATGATTTGCAACACAGATCTCAAGATCAGAAAGAGACAAGAAAAAGACCTAGCGTTGATGGCACATAAAGCTATGTACCAGGTCACGATGAGTCTGGTCACCTCCAGACTCATCTAAAACAGGTACAAAAATTTCTGGAAGCAGCAGTGCTTCCACAAGGCAAACTCAACAGAAACAAAAGCAGTAAAAAGAGTATCACCCCCTGGATTAAGATATGAAAAAGCTACAGATGGCTTGTCCAGCCACTTACTTGTTTGAGGCCATCACCCAAATTTACTGTTTGTGTTTCCACTGGCTCTGACTTCTCTTCCGCTGCCAGGTGGAAGCTCTCTGTCTCACAGCTGGGTTCCAAAGGAGGCATCTCAACTGCAGGTGGTGCTGCTAAGATGGTAATTTGGCTGTTATTCTTTGTTGGACTGATGCAGTGTTACATATTAAACAGAAAGAGAAGACATCTGAAAATGACAGTCTGAAAGCACTGGTGATGTTTTCCTCATCCCTTGTAGCATTCACAGCCACCACAGTCATGAGGATTCACTCAAAAGGCATCCTTCACTGTACTAATAAATTAAAACAAAAGAAAAAAACACTTGCTATTGCAAGCATGCTAAAGGTTAAATCAATTGCTAGAATGATGATAAAATTAATTTTCCCCAGGTAAGTCAGGAATATGGCAGAAACTGTATGTGATTTTCTGCCTTCCCTCATAGCTGTTACGGGAACACTGAGGACACATATGCAGTCTCTTCTGCTGTCTTTCGTGGAACACTGTAGTGTTACTTTCAGACTAGTGCTAAACCTTCAGTCTCAAAAAACACATCAGAAAGGCTTTACCAGCCTGCAGAGCAGACATTCAGGAAATCCTTCTGGATTTCTCTATTGCCTAGAATGACTAAAAATTCCAGTCCTGCACACACATTCTTAAAGTCCGTACTCTGAATGTGCTAAACAACCCTTCTTTCACCTCACATCAAAAAACGATAGCAACCTGCAGAAAACTTCTGGTTAAGCCCTCTGCTACCAAGACAACTGCCTTGCGACAGCTGCTTCTCCAGTACCCCACAGACCTTCTGTGCTAAAACCCAGGGGAACCGGGACTATTCCAGCAACTTGAAGTGCAGTGATATCCACGTGAAACACAGCTGCTTGGCCACAGTGGCTGCGAGAGCTAAATGCTTTCAGCTAGATAACACACCACCTCACCTTTGGGATACTCTTCCTTCTCTATCTCACTTGCCATGTATTTCTTCAGGATCAGCAAGGAACCTGCTCTTGTCTGCTCAACCATAATAATGTCAGACACGCTTCCAAGGACTTCAAACATGGAAGAAAACCCATATTGCGTATACTGGAACGCCCGGCCAAAGCGTCTGAAGAAGGCCTTATCAAAGTCCAGGAGCAGAAGTGGTGAGGAACTCAGTAGATCCTGCAGCTCAGCCTTCACCATGGCTGGCAGAACGGGAGCCCTGTACCTCTGAGGCAAGCTCTGTGGATTCTTAGAGGGAGAAGCAGCATCTGCCTTTGCAGCAGCACTCTTCCGTGCCCCATCTGCCTTTGCAGCAGCACTCTTCCGTGTCCTAGCACACCTCCTCTGTCTGGCAACCAGTTTGGCAATCACTTTAGTGGTCTCATCTGCAATGGCTACAACAGAAGGAAGTCAACTATTAGACTACCAAAACATCAAACTATTAAAAGCTCTACACAGGCAAAGCTGCTCTTCTTTCCTTTCTTTCCTCTTCCCCTTACCCTTTTCAGAAGCAGGTGCCTCCTTCAAAAGCAATCACGCTGAATTGTGGCTGATTTCTAGCAGGCCAACCACTTTTCCTCTCCCTTTGCAAACTGGACTGAACCATTTTTAACAGCCCATGACCAATCTGCACTCTCATCCTGATAAATCCAGACCGAGGTAGGAAAGTAGGTAAAATTCTTGGATACAGGATCACAATAGAAAACCCAGCTGTTTCATTTTGTTGGGAAAACAGGAAATGGCTCATTGCTCCCCTCAGCCAGAATCACTGTAAACCCCCACTGTAGAGCACCCACCTGTCCAGGCAAGGTCTCCCTGGAGAGCAATCCAGGTCTTTTCCATGCTTTTAAATTACTTTTTCTTGTCTTACTGTGGCATTCTAAATAAAAATATCATTTCACCCTTCCCAATCTTTGCACCCACCATTTGCTTCCACGCCTGTTCCTCCCAAAAAAAAGAAAACTAAAAAAGTTGTTTGATACATACTAAACTTCCCATGGGGTCAGGTAGGGCAACATTCACAGCTTCTCCCCAGAGGCCCCATCCCTGGTTCTGGCTCCTGCTATCATCTGCATTTACAGGAAAAGTGATGCTTACCAGTTCTAGCGTACATATAAGAAATGTTACTGCAGTTTCTAAGCTAAGTGCAAAATGCAAAATGTACAAAAATAACTAGAAGCCTGTGTGATTCTTCAGGAGCAAAGAGTGGAAAAGCATTAAAAGGCAGATCAAAATACAGGAAGAAACACCAAAGACAAGAAATTAAACAAAGCTTTATGAGAAAAAGAAAGTATGTGACCTGAAGCCCTGGGAATTCATCCTGCACATCCCCATTTTGGAGCATCACTTCATACCAGTATGTGGTTCCAAACAACTTCTCCACCCATAAGGAAACAAAACCTTACCTTTGAGGATAAAAGTATCATCCTTATGAGGACAGATTCTGACAACTTCAGGCATATCTGCCACCAGTTCCAAGGTGGACTGGAAGCCCAGGTCACACAGAGGGAGAGGTTTGCCGATCATGGCCATGTACTCCTGCTCCAGTTGTGCTGGGGTTAAGCCATCTTTGGCAGCTATTAGCAGCGATCTCACCTCCTTCTTCAGCACCTCCATAAACTGTGTCTGCTTCGACAAGTCTGCACTAAAGGGGAAACAGAAGCAAGCAGAAAAACAATTCATACCACAGCTGTACAAATACTGACAAAAGACTTTTTACCATTTAACAGCTGAAAGCTGGTGGGGGTAGCAAGCAGCAAGCCAGGTTCACCAACGGCCATTACCTACTGACCCCTCTGTTGCCTTGCCTGCACCTCTGGAACCTTTGGCACCTGCTGTCCCAGCGGAGGTCATGGCTCCAACTGCGTTTGGTGCCTGTCCCCATGGGATCACGGCCCCCACGACCACTGCATCCCCTGAGTGCTGCGCACCCCTAAACCCCCGCCCCAGGCACTGTCACTCCGCAGACCCCTGCGCCCCTGAACCCAGCCCTGGGGATTCCCCGCTGTGCCCCACAGGGTCACTGCCGCCTACAGAGGCTCCTTTGCCCCCAAACCTGGGCCTGGGGGACCCTCGAGAAGCCCCCCGGGGGCCGCCGCGGCGCCCCACTCACCGCGCCATCGCGCCGTCTCGCATTTCCATAGACAGAAAAGTTTCCGTATGACAAGTGGGGGGCTGAGGTTGTGTATTTTGGGATGGCAAAGTTTGCAAAATCATCAGCACATACTCTCAAAGCATCTCCCCATCCCAAGGTAACAGCCAAAAACATCCTAGGGGGACAGAGAAGTCGGGACCCATTGGTTGAATTAAACATCAGACAAAACCAGAAAGCTGCAAGTTTGTAGGTGTTAATTATGCCATGGTGCTTCTGAAAAGAAATCAACTAGAGTCTGTGCTGCCTGGCCAAAACCAGACCTGAGCTGCCATTTACTGCTGCTGCTTAAAACATCACCTGCCCTTTCAGCAGCTGGAGACTATCTCCTCCTGCCTCACGCTGGCCAAGTGATTAACACAAAGTGAAAAAGGTCTCTGGAGCACTTCCAAAGCAAATATAGACACTGTATGAATTTGTTAATTACGCCTCATTTCCGCCCAACTTTTCTCCTCTGTCATTTGCTCTCTCCATCTATCGCTTCCCCGGTGACCTGCTGACGAGGCACCCAGCACAACAGAGCAGAGAAAGCAGGGAGCCTGTGCTCCTGCCCTCCCTGCCTGCAAATATCCTGACTCTGGTTGGGCCCCAAGTCTCCAATAAAACAGGAATCCATGAAAAAACAAGAGCAGCACCTGCCCGGCTGACTTCCCAGCTCCCACCAGCCACTCCTCCACACCAGAGACTGGGCATCCCTCAGCTCAGCACTGCCCTGTTGACAGGGGAGTCACTGTCTTATGTTCTAGCCTCATCTTGCTGTAATGCAATTTCTAGCCAGGTGCTGGTTTCTTTAATACAGTCAGTGACTTTAAAACACTTTAAAAGTGTTTCTTGCAGAGGTTTCTGCAGATGCCACCACAGACTGTGCAGCATGGAAAGAAAAAGCTCCTGTTTGCTTTGCCACACTCCTGCTGCGGAAAACTATGGACATATTTAGGCACAAGCTCTTTTGCAATTTAGAAGACATTCTCCAACATCTCCAACCCTGCAATGGCCTCCATGCTTTCCACCCATTCAGGAAAGTTCGTAGCTGAACTGGGACCAGCTAATTTCCCTCCCTGATAAAATGTGAGGTGACCATAGAGAGAGGGAGTTTGCTGCCGACATCCCACCACTGTGTCAGCCAAAGAGTTTCTAGAGAGCAGATCAATGTGAGGTGCAACACCCCCTCCAAACATTCCCAAGTTAAGCCACTTCTCACCAGCAAAGGTTTTTCACCCTGGTGCTTGTTGTTCCAGGCCCCTTTCACCATGTGAGGTCTTCAGAGCCCCATGTCTGAAGTGACTTTTATATTGCTTTTCAACAGCTTTGCAGAAACCATCTACTAAAAATCATCTGAGTGCTTTTGATTGTAGTTTATTTCCAAGGGCAGGAAGATACAAACAGAAAGTCTCCCTGTCTAGGTCTAACATTCCTTCCCATCTCCACAGCAGTGTAGGATGAGGGCAGAGCAGCTGGGAAACAGCTTGCTCACTTCACTGTCCATTACATCTGACAAGCCTGCGATAAACTTGAAACAAGCCTCCTTGATCTGACACCTCCCCTTCTCTCCTCCCTTGCCTGGTTTTCCTGCCTGCAGTAATAAATTCAAACACGAACTCATCCTGCTCCCACAGGCAGCTGCGTGCTCCTTGGCACAGATGAAGATGGATAAGAGGTCTCGGAGCTCTTCCAGAGAGACTCATAGGAGACGCAGAGAATCCCCAGCTACACAGAGCAAACGAGAAAAGAGGGAGAGCAGCAGAGAAGCTAGCAAAGGAAGGGGAGACGTAAAGCAGGAGAAAGCAAAGGACATCAAGAGCACCGCAGGGACTGACGGTAGGGTGCACACGTCCACGGTGGTGGACGTGGATGAGGTGATATCTGATGAAGAAATGGAGGCAATGGCGTTGCTGGACAGCGAGCGGCAGGAGGAAGGTATGGCTTACAGAAGGAAGGGACCGGAAAGCTATGGGCTTTTTGAGGCTGTGTGGGGTCACAGTATGACTCTGCTCTCTGCATGGTGTCATCACACCCACCTGGCACAGACATATAGTTATCCTCAGGATGGGAAATGGGAGACTCCAGCCAGCCTCCCAGCCAGCTTCTGCAGTCAGTCCAGGCTGATCAGCACAGTCTAGCAAAGCATGAACTTTGCAACAAGCAGTTACATCCACAGCATCCTTCACACTTCAGCTCACTGCTCCCCAGTTCTGTTCATGTTCTATTCTCTCCCTTTTCTTGCTTGTCCTTCTTTAGGCAGATGGAGTTAGCTTTAATGCCAGTTCACAGCCCAGAGAACTGCACTGCAGGGAAGCACTGTTCTTGAGGTGCACACTTGTAGCTCCCCTTCTGGATAACTTTTAAGAACAGCTCATCTCCAGGCTGTGTGTTTGTTAGGCAGATTCCCAGCCTGCAATGACAGGAGGGAGCATCGTGAGTCTTTTGGCAAGATGGTTGAGCCTCTTTGGACCCAGCATCACCACAGATGCTGTATTACAGCATGTGTATTACAGGAGCCAGCATCACTTGTCTACTTCCATGCCAGCGGCTCTGCTGCCCTAGAATGACACAGAGGTTCAGACTTGATCCTGTCTCTCTGAGAACCAGTTTTTCACAACTGCCTCTTTCTGTCTCTATTACAGGAATCCCAGCTAGTGAGTGGTGCTGTGGAGTTGTAGTGATCACACAGGTTCTTGGGATCTGAACCCTCTCGGGACTTGGTGGCTCTGCAGAGAGCTCCAAAGGCAAAGAAGCAGGGATCAAAGGGCTAAAAGGGATCCAGAACAAAGCAGGGATGAAAGGGCTAAAAGGGATCCAGAATGGGAGGGATGCAGGGATGCTAACTTCACTGCTGGACAACATGGTCTACTTTCTGGGTCTGGGCACATCCAGAATTAATCTATCTGTTTTCATGCCATACCTGCAGATTTTCCCTCAGGCAGGAGCACAACAAAGGGCAGCCAGATTGAGACGACCCACGCTCACTGTGGGGAGATGTAGGAAGTAACATTCATCTGGGGCTAAGCACCCCAGACAGCCTCCAGCACCTCGCTGTGACTGCTCTGAAGCACATCAGAGATCTCATTGCTTGGTCCCACTGCACTGGGGAGCTGGGATGTGACTAAAATCCTATTCCAAAAGGACCTGAGATACTCTGATAGAGAAGGGCACTTCAGGATGTGCATGTTGAAAGCTGTCTCTTATTTACAGTCTTTCCCTTTGCCATTAGCTTATCTTTGCAGATAAGCTTCTGAGATCACAGCTCAGCCAACAAGTTGCCCATTTCAAGCCTTTCAATGCTGCTTGGTAGCCACAGGTCTTCAAACTAAAGGCTGCTCTCTAGTCAAGGCGCTATGGAGAAGCATGGCTCAATTTCTGCCAGTAAAGCAGAGATAAAATCTGTCAGTCCATCCTGGCAGCTCCTGGCCACCTGAGGCAGAGACTATTGTTTAACATAGCTCTAGAGAGAGACAAATTGTTCACGTACACTGGGTTTAGGCAAAGGACAATACTGAAGCTGATCTGTGCAGGCACTTGTCATGCCATCAGTATTTTGGAAGCAGTCCTCTCCTAACACGGTCATGTCGGATTTCTCCCTAGGTGTAAAGTCTCCGGGTCTGGGCATCTGCGAGTGGCTTCTGACCATCTTGTCTTTCCTGTTCGTCCTAATGACCTTCCCCATTTCTATCTGGTTCTGCATGAAGGTGAGAATAGTCATGGGGCCTCTCTAGGTTTAGTATTTGGTGTCTGATGTAGATGTAACCCACTGGTTCAGCGTGTGTCAGACATGAGCATAAAGCTGTTTTGGTGTAAGGCCCTATTTACAGTTCTTTAAATCATCATTAATCTTGACTTATGCTTTATCACATGTTGCTGCCGTAGAGCAACACAGGGGTCCAGCCACTGCCTAGCAACTACTCTTGCTGCAGAATCATTAAGCAGGGGCTTAGGTTTCTCTTTTTAAAAACAAACTGCAAGTCAGTTCACTTTCAAATATAATCTTTAGCCTACCCAGCCCAGAGATGGCTGCATTGCAGAAGCAGCAGGATAAATAGGTTTTGTATTACAAATTTTGAGAGATTGATCTGTTAATAGCAGATTTTCCTCTCTTCCTTCCCCTTTCTCAGGTTTATAGCATGGCTACAAATAGGCATATTTTGATTCCCACTTCTCATGAAATTTCATGTGCATCTTGTTCTCAGCAAGAGTGTCAGTATTATGGGACAGCTCTTACACATGTGGACACATGCACACATGGTCCCCTTGGAGGGAAACAACCAACACGGCAAGTTTTAGCTCAGGGTGTTGAGGTTTGGCCAAGCAGTAAGGAAGAATGCTGGCCTTATCCTGGGAAACCCTAGGCTGCTCTCATCAAATCTCGGTCTGTCACAGGGCTGCTCATATGCTGCTCACACACAAGGTCAGTCAACAGTTCTGGGCCAGGGGACTCAGAGAGGGGTGACTCCACTAGCTCACACCTGCTGAAATACTCCCTTTGCAGGGCTTTCCCAGAACGGACTTACTCTGGTAGCAGTGAGGCCTCTTTCCCCAGTCCTACGCCTTCCGCTCCAGCCAAGCTTTTTATTTCCCTTTGCAGGTAGTGCGGGAGTATGAGAGAGCCATTGTTTTCCGACTTGGGCATCTCCTTCCTGGCAGAGCCAGAGGGCCTGGTAAGGTGTTTACTGAGCCCCTCCCATCCATGTCACACCTCTTCATGCTCTGCCAAAGCTCACATGCTGGTGCCCTCCAAGTAGGCATGGCCAGACAGTAAATGGGGTGTCTTTGCTCCCTTCCTCTTAGGGCCAGTAGATTCTAATGGCTTTTTCCATCACAGAAGTAGCCTCAAAATTTGGGCCTATGTATTGCTCTTCCTTTGTAGTTCTGTATGCCAAACCCTCCCCTGTTCCCCAGCCAGAGCAGGAGAGGCAATTTCTGTGGTTCTGTTGATCACCAGCTGTCTTTCTCTTCCTCCCACAGGCCTTTTCTTT